GGGCTGATATGATCACCCATCTATGGGACGGATATGGGATTAAAGTTAGCAAAAGGATTGGGCCTTTAACCTTATCCACTCTAGGAGACCAAATTCAAATCAGATTTGAATCTGGTAACCTTCTGATAAGATTAGGAGTAAACTAACTTAATCTGCAGATAGGATTAAGATCATTCCCTATCCGAATACTGATTTGGATTGGGATAACTCCTAATTAGGAGATTTCTTAATCAAGAAGAAAAGAGGAGAAACCCTAAGAGATCATAATCAGATTTCGAACCTAGGGTTTTTGGCATGAAAAACATCATGTGAATTGAGATTGGATCTCATACTCACTCTAGAAAGAAGAGAAGCAATTTCAGCCATCTTCACTTCAGGAGTTCTCCTTTAGTCGCCGCCATTCTTTCTTACAAGATTTGATCTTTGAAGAAGAAAGAAATTAAGAAATCGGTTCTTGATATCAGTTTTGCAGAAGAGACTGAAAAGATTTGGTGCTCAGAGTTTCCAGTGGATTCTTGCGAAGGATTCAGTGTGTAGGATGCACTCTGCTGGTTCCGTTCCATATACAACTATGTCATCTTCAGCAAGAGCGGATCTTGGTGTCCTCTTTGGGTGTAAACACCAACTTTGGGAGATACTACTTCTCTGGATCAGGTATAATTTCTCCCTTGTCTTTGGTTCAGATCTGTTTCAATTATGGTTCAAGTAGGATCCTTGAATATTGTATTCTAAATTTAGGGAATATGATTCCCAGTTGGAATAAGGTAGGAAAATTTTTGAAATTCGCCCACCCATTCCGCAATCTTTATGGCATTCATACGATGGATCCTACCATTATTTCAGGCCTCGCATACGCTGGAGTGCAGAATGAGACACTCTAACCCATTTCTTCTGTATATACTCTTAAACCTTTCCTTCACCACCTATTTCTAATTAGACATTCTTGGTAGGTGAATGGCATGGGCGTGGAAAGAAGGCTCGAAAGTGATACGGATTGGGAAGCGGCACGGGTATGTGTTTGTTGTAGAATGTCTACATCCCTAAATTTTAACATTTTTGGAATATATGGTTTGCCAGTTGTGGAGGTGACCATAATATCCTTGGTTCTTTTGGGTGCGGGCACGAAGAATGCTTGACTTGCGGGCAAGATGCGCAACCTCTCACGGCAATACTATTAGGAAACCGATCAACTCTTCGGTGTAAGCTTCTCAATTCTCAACTTCATTCGGTATTCTCGTTTAGGTGTATGGGTTACTATTTTGCTTTGGTTACATGCGTAGTTTTGCGGTTCTCAAATCTCTGGTTCATTCGGTGTTCTGTTGCGGTTTTATTGGTTACTAATTGCTCTATTGCCATTGTTCTGCTTGTAATTTTTCTGAATTTATTAATAATCCTCATCATCGTCACCTTCATGCATTGCCACTTTCAGGAGCTTGCATCCGTGGAGTCGATTCGAGCGTTCGAATTGTAGTATTGAACAGCCATGGCCTCGCATACGCTGGAGTCCAGAATGAGCCACTCTAACCCATTTCTTCTGTATACACTCTTAAACCTTTCCTTCTCCAGCTATTTCTAATTAGACATTCTTGGCAGGTGAATGGCGTGGGCGTGGAAAGAAGGCTCGGAAGTGATACAGATTCGGAAGCGGCACGGGTATGTGTTTGTTGTAGAATGTCTACATCCCTAAATTTTAACATTTTTGGAATATATGGTTTGCCAGTTGTGGAGGTGGCCATAATATCCTTGGTTCTTATGGGTGCAGGCACGAAGAATGCTCGATTTGCGGGCAAGATGCGCAACCTCTCGTGGCAATACTATAAGGAAGCCGATCAACTCTTCGATGTAAATTTCTCAAACATCCGGTTCACTAGGTGTTCTCTTGCGGTTGTATTGGTTCCTCTTCATTTTGTTTTTACTCTCAGCAAGGAGAGTAAACCAAACTTTTGGTTCCCTTCATTGTGTTTATTCGTTTCTAACTTTATCAGCTGATATGTTCTAAGACTTGTAGATGGTTTGGGACCCTGATACACCATGCGTCCCATTGGGTTCATAGGAGACTGCATATATTATAATCAACCTATGCATTTCCAGGTATCCCTTAAGTTGCAGTAGAGCTCTTTCCCACCAGACAAATGAACCCAATAATATGTATATTGTTTCCTATTCTGTTTCAAAAATAATATGTATATAATTACAGGTTGACAATCCTTGGATTGGCTGATTATTAGCCCATCCAATCTCTGAAGTTGGTCCCATTCAATATGTGTGCACATCTGCTAGACTGCTACAAACATCTCAAATTGTTGAACTGCCTAGGTTGTATTATGGATCATTTAACAACCCCCACCCAAATCTGAAATATTGCTTATTAATTCTGTTCTGGTATCTTGCTCTGTAGTTGCCTAGGTGATTTTTT